ATCTTTTATACTTTGAGGAGCGGTTGTATATTCCAAAGGGACAAGCTCAATTCCAAGTTCTCCAATCTCGACAAGACTTTCCAGCGATGGGATATTTTGGATTCAATAAAACCTTGAAACTTATTTCTCGAGATTTTTGGTGGCCTCGAATGTGGAAGGATGTCAAGAATTTTGTCCTCTCCTGTGACATTTGTTCAAGATCTAAGAATCCTTAGCATCGTCCTTATGGTCTTCTTCAGTCATTGCCTATTCCACGTCGGCCATGGTCTTCAATTTCCATGGACTTCATTACAAACCTGCCGCCATCGAATTCATTTCATAACATCTTTGTTGTACTAGATCGGCTTACAAAGATGGCACACTTTGTCCCTTGCAAGAAAATATCATCAAGCAAAGACATAGTAAGGCTCTTCTTTGATAGTATATATTGATATCATGGTTTACCAGATGATATCATGTCGAATTGAGGAATCCAATTTGTATCAAAGTTTTGGAGATCTTTTTTTGAGATATTGAAGGTGGATATCAAGCTTTCTTTGGCTTTCCATCCTCAAACTGACGGCCAAACGAAACATATGAATCAAACTTTGGAGTAGTATTTACGATACAGCATCAACTATTAGCAAGATGATTGGATTGCATATCTATCATTAGCCGAGTTTGCATATAACAACATCCTTCATGCATCGATTCAATAAACACCATTCTTTTCTAACTATGGATATCATCTGAAGCTTGATTTGTTGAGTCCATCAACTAATAACAATCCGACAGTTGAAGGATTTGTCAAACAACTATCGAAGCTTCAAACTATATTGAAGCTTCAATTGCAAACTGCCCAAGAAGCTTACAAGGCATCCGTAGATAAATTTCGAAATCATGCACCTACTTTCAAAATTGGAGATAAAGTATGGTTGCTTTGACGGAATATCAAAACCAAGCAGCCATGTGATAAGTTGGACTACCGGAGATTGGGACCATTTGTCATCCAGAAGCAAATCAATCCAATGGCATACCATTTGGGATTACCGACTGCTATGAAGGTACATCCAGTCTTTGATGTTTCTTTGTTGGAGCCTTATCGAGAGTTGTCTTTTCCTAGAAGAGTGCAATGTCCGCCACCTAGTATTGAAATTAAGAACCACGAGGAATACGAGGGAGAAAAGGTATTAGATTTGCAGCATAAGTGGAAGAAATTGGAGTACCTATTGCATTGGAGCGGCTATGATATCAATGAGTGCTCATCTGAATCAGCAAAAAAATCTTATCAATGCATCGCAAAAGGTATAAGAGTTTCATCAACGATATCCTCAAAAACCTAAGCCCTTTCGATGAAAGTTTTTCAGTGAAGTCCCTTCTCTTTGAAGTCTCTTAATCCTCGACCTTATAAAGAAGGGGGAGAAGGAACCTCTAAAAGACATAGTTAGAGACTATAAATCTATAACCTGAGTCCATTCTTCCATGTTTAGTATTTGTATTTTTCGGTCTGATATGGATAGCTAAGAGATAGATACCATACCAGTTATGTCTTCTCAATCGAGTATCTCACAAAGACGACCCCAAGATGAAGAACTGCCTATACCATGAAGATGACAGAGGATACCTAATAACAGGTTGCTAATAATTGTGTTTGCGATAGAACCTGCCTACGGTGATCTTCTCGAAGGAGTGTTTGCAGGGCATTTTCATAATAAAGACATGGAAGTTTATGCTTGGTCAAAAATTGAAGACGTAAGATACTATTATTGGTTATAAGGACCAATGAACTACTTACCGTGCGAACAACAATTGGAGTATATTGCAGATACTATGCGACAAATTTTCAACTTCTTACATTGGTACACAATAGGAGTGCTTCTCGAAGACCTCAAAACTAAAGAAGGGGGTGATGTCAAAGACATATACTAGGAAGTTGTATAAGATTTTAGAAGGTTCTAGAGAAGCTTTGTAGTTTGTAGAAGCTACTTGAGAAGTTTTCAAGCTCGTGGAAGCTGCTTGAGAAGCTTCTTAGCTTGTAGAAGCTGCTTGAGAAGCTTCTTAAGTCATAGAAGCTGCTTGAAAAGCTTCTTAACTCGTAGAAGTTGCTTGAGAAGCTTCCTAGTTTGTGGAAGCTACTTGAGAAGCTTCCTAGCTTGTAGTATATATAAGAGCCGAGACTAAGGGGATCCTCAGTCTCGACAATACATCTCTTGGAGCTCTAGCTCACTTCTCTAATGTTGTTCTTGTACTCATTTGATTAATCTAATTCTTGTCGATTCTTCTTGAGCTTCTTGTTTAGATTTGCAGTCAGTATTCTAAATTTGTGACACCTATTGAAATCTTTGAAGGATTAAGTTAAGAGCTATACTAAATAAAGTCATCCAAAGATGTTTGTTTAAACAATAAATTATAAAATAAGATAAAAACTCAGCATCTAATATGTGGCAAGAATATTATGAGATATCTTTTGTCCTAGAAAATTAAGCTCTCCATAGTTGATTCAATAGCTTGTTATTTTCTAGAAGGATTTTGATCATTTAGTAGATTCTTCTTTAGTCCAAAAATAATTCTCAATCAAATTTCTTTAATTCTAATAGCTTAGATAGATATATTCTTCACTATAATGAAATAAAAAAATAAAAAATAATTATATAATTAATAAAAAAGATGTAAAAAATTAAGTTGAATTTATTTATTTTGTAATATAATTCAATTTTTTTAAAAAAATTAAGAATTAAAGATATAATTTTTTTATAGATAAGTTAATTCTAATCTAAAAAAGATATAAGATAAAATATCAGCTAACCTATTTGTATCTAATTCTATTAATATTTTTTATTCTATTATTATTTTAGATAATAAGAATATCACATTGACAATTATTTTTATATATTTACAATAAGTTCTAACATATAATCCAATTGAAACTTATGATTGTAATTATATAAATGCTTGGTTATTGTTTTTCAAGAAATATTGTTTAATTATTCATATATTGGCTAATAAGAAAAATAATATATCTAAATAAATAATTTTTTAATATAATATTCTAATATATAAAAAAGAATTAAAAAAAAAGTAATATAAAAACTATCAATTCTTAAAAATAGTATTTTTTATATTTTATAATATTTAAAAAAAAAATTATGTAATTAGATTATGTAAAATATTTTAAAAAATCTAAATAATATTTTAATTTTTTCCAAGTATTTTTTTCTATAATAAATATATATCTATTAGAATACAAAATTTTATCTTCAAGTCTTTTTATTATGATAAAATCTCTTTTTAGTATTTCAAAAATATAATATAAAAAAAGTTACAAAATATATATATATATATATATATATATATATATATATATCTTTTAGTACAAATAATTACATGCTTATATATTTTTTTATCATTTTTATCTTATTTACTTTTAATTCTTAAATGTTAGTGATATAAAAAATTTATGTCACAGATATTTATAACTACTAGTATACTTAGTTCAATAAGTAGGAATAAATATAGCATGTAGAAGTAAATTAATATCTTATTGAAAAGCTTCTTGTCAGCTTTATAAATACAAATTTGACTTTACATGTTGTTGAATTATATGAAAATCAACCCATGAATGCACATTTATCTATGAAAAGATTTGATCTTACTTTGAAGTTGCATTTACAATCTAAAAACAATACATAAGGTGTTTAAAAATGTCTTCTTAGCAATTTGAAACAACCTAAATAAGCTTCTAATTATATCAAGTATCTCTTAATCTTAGAAAAACCTTAAGAAAATCTTATCACTTTTTAATCAATTCTAAATAAACCTTAAAAATTCTTTAAAAATCCTATTAATTCCTAAAAAAAACACAATACTTATAAAAAATCATGAATATTCTAAAATATCATAATCAAATCCTAATCAAATACTAAATAAAACCTAAAAAATTCCAATAAAACTTTAATTAAATCCTAAATAAACTCTATAGAAAATTTCAAACCTTAATAATTAATAATCATTTAACCATCAATCTTAATTTAACATATTTTTACTTCTTAATCTACTTATTGGAAACAAATAATTTTTTTGAAAATAATTAAAATTATAAATTGGAAGAAAATGCTTCTCATCTACTTTAATATTGGCCATCTTCCTTCTTCAACTTTGATGTCAATCTTCTAGCATCAATAGCTCCCTTTTTAATCATTTACTTACTCTTAAGATTTTCACAAATGTTATAAATCAAATCAACTATCATCATATAAAAAATCATTTCAATCCAACTCAGTGATTGCTTGTAATTGTAGAAAATCTCATTGCCTTTTAAAATGTAATTTCCAAGATTGTAACTCGTATCTTAATTACATTTAAATTGACCACCTTATTAACCTCTATTTGACAAAAATAAATACAAAATAACTACCTTCACAAATTTAAAACTTGATATACAAGGATTTGTTGGAAAACTTAGATAATTCATCAAAATATTATCAATTTTTTATTTAGCAAAAAACAAAGTCATCTAAATAATTTTAATTTTGCAGAGCACTTACAAAGTCTATATTTCGTCACAACTAATGCTCGACGAAATGTTATCCAATTTTCTCTTCAATTACACTTTCTAATGATCAAAAGAATAGTATGTTAGCCATAGGTGCATGAGTAGCCTTTTTTTTTTTATTATTAGTGTCTAGTATGCATGAATTTCAAAAGGTGTCATTTCATCGGAGTGCAATTTGTTGAGAGCATTAAATGTAGCTAGTGCTCTCCATCATATTTACTGTAGACTACAATAAACACTGTAGTTATAGTATTTAGAGTTAGTGGAGAAGAACTATTTATCCTCTCCCCTTTCTCTTCTTGTATACGAGACACAACCAGAACAATAGATTTTCATGTGTGGAGCTCTCTCTCCTTAGAAACCCTCTTGTGTGTATGACTTACTACTAATCTTCTGTGTGTATTACTTACTACTCCTCTTGTATCTTTCTAAACATTGTCAACACAATTCATTGCATTTGAGTTAAGAATGGAGACACAAAAAGGTTTTTTTTAGTTCAATGCACAGATATATATATATATATATATACATATACCCCTATGCAGTAGGAAATGCAATCCAGTTATCCTCACACATCAAAAGTCATGCAGGAATGGAGATAAGTAATGATAGATGCCTAATTTCCATGTGCTTCACAGTTGAACCTGATTTCCTACACTAACCTACGCCTTCTTGCAAAACCGTCACATACAGCATCTTGTAACGAATTATCAAGCGCCTTGTTTCTTCCGTGGTAGTCAAGACCAGGTGAAGCAGCATTCCTTCAGGTACACGCTGTTGTTACCGGATCAAATTCTACTTTCCTTCTTCAGAAAGAATATGAATATTCGTGATGCACGACGGTGTAACAATTCCGAACTCGAAATAGTTGGACTTGGCCCACTCCGTTGTGCATGGGTGAGATTCTCTATAGCGCTATCTCTACAACCTAAGCCACAGCCCAATTTTAGCAAATGCGAGGGTCTGAACTTAGGCCAAGCCGACAAGCTTCTCACTAACTTCCCACAACTTCTTAGCTTTCTCTGCGTCGCTAGCTTCCTGAGATAGTTCATTCTCGAACGAGCCCGACTGATTGTTCCAGCTCCAGTATACACCCGACTTGTTCATTGAGGGATCACTGACGACCTGAAGCAAGAAAAAATAACACTATTAAATAATTGCACCCGTCATGGACAAAGATACAGTGCTTTTCGGAAGTTAACAATGTCAGCTGGGTCGTGAAAGATGCTGGAAATCAAGTACTAGATGTAGAACGAACAGCAGACATGACATATTTCAAACAATGTGTGATGAATGCTCAGATGAATACTCAGATGAATGCTCAGATGAATACCTGCGCCAGTCTCCTGCCAGACTCTTCCTCTGAAACATATCCCTTCGTGATGTACTTCTGGAAGGGAGGGAAGAGGGTTCGGAATAGTGAATAATGCTCGCGGAAGAGCCCTGTTGTAGCGATACATCCAGGATACAGTGATGCGAAGGTGACACCAGTTTTCTCGTGAAACCGGCGGTGCATCTCCTGCATGGTCAACATATTGCACACCTTGCTGTCTTTGTAGGCTTTGGCACCATCAAACTCTCCCCCGTCAATCATTACAGAGGATCGTACTCCATCAAGGCCTCCAGCAAGCCCTCGGAGATCACCAAGATTGGCCTTTGGCGGTACATTTCCTGCTACAGTGTTTGTGTTTCCTGAAAAGTGAAGGAACGGCACCTTCTGTTATAAACAGAAACCGACGTCTAACACTACTCTCCAGAGAGAATTCCCTCCTTCTTCACAACCTTGAACAGCAGAAGCTGAGACAGGAGAAAGATTCAAGTAATTACATTACTGCTAGAAGGGTGCCGAGCGTATAATACCTGTAATCGAACCAACAATGATCACCCGTCTACTGTTGTTATTTTCTTTGTGCTGGATATCCTCCATGAGCAGGTTGGCCAAAAGGAAGTGGCCTAGATGGTTTGTGCCCACGCTCAGCTCAAAGCCGTCAGCAGTGTATCTGGGCTCCTTAGCAGTGGGCAAGTACACAGCAGCATTGCATACAAGTACATCCAAAGGACGACCCGATCGGCGGAAGTTGTCAACAAATTGCTTAACACTGTTCAGTGAGGACAGATCACAGTGCATCACGGTATAGTTTTCCTTAGGCATGCCCACAGACTTCGCAGCACGCTCGGCCTTCAAGAAATCTCTGCAAGCCATTATGACGTGCCATTCGCCGGAGTCGGCAAGTACCTTCGCGGTAGCAAGGCCGAGACCTGATGAGGCCCCGGTGATGATAACAGTTGACTTGGTGTCGGTTTTCTTGGATGATGTGGATGCATTCGTACTAGCCGGAGCTGCAACACTCTGAGCCCGGACAGGTTCTACTAGGGGCTGCCTTGAAGTACCCTGAAAACAAATGTATCTCAGTACACTATAAGTACACAACAACGTTTAAGGAAACTGTTGAAGGCCTCGAGACCGTGATTGCGATGCACAATTCAAATTAAGATATCGCCCCTCCAACACCTGGTAAAATTCATACTTTCGGATACTCAAGGACACAAGAACCCATACATTTTGCTAGGGGACTAAGCCTAAAACCATGGCCCGGAAGAGAACAGAAATCTCTTCAAAACTTGGAGATGAATGCGTGACTGTCTACCTAGTACTAGGGAATTGGAAATACAGCTAGAGTCGAAATTTATTCTTATGGTGACTGAAGTTCAAAAAACTTTGCTGACCAAGCGACGCCTGTGGAGCGTAACCACAGTAACTTATTTAGTTCTACAGTGGTTCAGGAGCGATTATAAATAAATAAATTACGTACCGCATTGACTGCTTTGAGAAGTGCGGAGGCATCCTTGCAAACAGAGACTTTAATTCCCACGAATGCTGATGATTGTACGCTGGCGGTGATCCCTGTGGTAGCCCTCTGCATAGAAGTCAGTCCCGGACGGGTTACCAATCAGAATTCAAAAGTCCAAGTTGCAGGCGCTCCATGTCTGGAGAACAGCATGGATGGACTCATATCGTAACACTCTCTGGGACCACTTACTGGAAAAGGTGAAAGGGGGAATAAAAGGAAAAAAGAAAAGAAAAGTAAAGAACATTGACAGTGGGTATTGTCAAATACAATGCCAAAATTCTAGGCAGTAAGGCACAAGTGTTTAGGTTCATGGCATTTAAATTCTCTCTTGACGCTGGAAATAAATGTGAATGCCAGAAAGATAGCGGTGGCCAGACTATGTGCGCAAGTGATACGTAATGAGTGCAAGTCTATCTATTCATCTTTAGACTGTGCATTGCTCAAGAAGTGCAGCTAAGAGTCGAGATTCAAGCACGACAATTCATTAAGGGAATACCAAAAATTAAAAAAAAATAAAAAAATAAAAAAAACGTGCACTATCGGAAACGTGTCCCATGTAAAACCACCCACACTGCAAGGTCTAACCTGGGGAAAATCTCAGTGCCCCTGAAGTCAAATTCGCCCAAAACCCAGTCTCAACGCACACATTTTACGTCATGTCTCTAAAATAGAAGCAGTTAAACCCTACATGTATCCTCCTAAAGACGTAAACCAACAACAGGACACGCAAAGAGCTTCACTCCTTCAAACAATCAACTCAGAGTCTTCCGCGACTGACTACCGTGCAAAAGAAACCAAACAAAAACTCACTCAAACGCAGTCCAATTCTACGGATTTCTGTTCAGTACCTCAGAGGTGAGAGCTGTGAGAGACGAAGAGACAGCAGCAGCGACGCAGGTAGCCATGGCGACGAGACACTGGCGGGGAGCTGATCGACTTCGCAAGCTCCGGAAACAAATTCATTCACGTCCGACACAGCTGAAGATCACAACGATATCTTATTTCCTTAGCGCGGGTGAAGGGGTCGCCGTTCACGGATTTAGAGGCGCATGTCATATCTATCAATTTATTATATCTCGGGGTAACCTAGATGGAACGAGATCGCCGGAATCCAAGAGACGGCAGTCGCCATTGGCCGGGGGCTCTCCTCCAGAAAGTTCCACAAGACCAGATTGAGTCCTGTGCCCTTGCAAGTCGATTAGGGTAGACAGCTTATCCAATTGGACCCCATATCCACATTTCCACCAATCACAAGCCTCGCCTTCACTGCCACCTTGGCATCACAATTGGGAACGCGCCATGACAACCACCAGTTCGGGAACAGATCTGGGAACGCTGTGGAACTCATGGTGAGGAGTGGTCGCTCCCTTTCCTCAACTTGTTTATAGGACATCATCAATTAAGAGGTGTTTTTTTAATAGAATTTGGACCTAACCCTGTCAAACTTTCTAGTTTTGCTTCGCAGTTCACACATTGTTTCATCTTCGTTGTTACTGGTTCTATGTTTGATGCAGTGAGTTCAAGTTAAATCACCTATTTTAATGCATTCTAGACAACACAAATAATAATAGTAATAATAATGGAATTAGGATTGGAAATAATTAAAACAATAAGTGTAATGAAATCCAGTAACTACTCTTTCTGTGGTCCATTCTTTGTACGGATTTTAACCATACAGATCTTTGATAGAATTTATCTCAACTTTACAGAGCTAGAATCCTAAATTCCTGATTTGTTCTTTTGATCAATTTTGGAAGAAATGACATCAAATAATTAAATGAGTGCTTGTTAACACTGCATTAAATACATTAGGAATACAACAACAAACCCCACTCAACTTCTTATAATCCCTCCTTCCCCCCTTCCACATGTGCGTAAACTTCTTTGCATCCATCACACTATTAGTATCACCACAATTAGGTGACCAAGACATTGTGGAGGCAAGCCACCTATGACCATGCCCATTAGATGTGAGATGCATTGAAATCCTCTCCGATGTATTCTCTTTGCTTATATCACCTGGGCGGAGTTTAGGGTTTTGGTTTCAAATAGAATAGCTGAAGTTATGGTTTCTAATGGAATAGCAAGTTTTTGTTTCAAGTGTTTTGTATCTATTGCATCCATTGTATTGCAGTCTCTATACTAACATAATTATATACAATGACTGAAAAAATTGTTTCAATACTAACATTTTTTTAGAAAGAATTGTGTATTATAGATAAATTATAGTAAATAATGATACATGGTTTGTATAGCAAATAAAATACTCCTCTATATCTATCAAATGAACCCAAGTTGAAAAGAATCCATTGGATAATTGCAGAGCTATGACCAATCTAATTTGGAGTAATATTGAAACAATTTTTTGAATGTGGTGTCTAATTTTTGGATTCTGTCAATTACTCAATATTACAACATTCTATCATCATCATATTTACTATGATAATATTATCACTACTCTAATGATATCATTAATACTTATTAGTAGCTATAAAAGTACCATTCTTAATCACAATTCTTAACACAGACATATTTCAAATTACTACATTCTAGGACCTTCTAGAATCTTTTGTAAATTTCTAAAACCTTTTAGATACTTATAGAATCTTCCACAATCTTTTAGAAAGTTCCATAAGATTCTTGAAGCCTTTTTAGACTTCTAAAAACTTCTATAAAAAGTACCATAGACTTTTGTAACCTTCATTATAGTATAAATATGAATCTTTGGAACTACTTTTTTTATCAATCTCATTCTTGGTTTTTAATCTTGACATATTTCTTTATCGAATTCTTGTGACCTTAGCAATTTCTTAAACAACTATGTAATCCATTCCTTGCTCTCTCTAAGACAACATCACCTCTACTCTTTTTTATTCTTAAAAATCTTATGGCCAAATTACTTATGAACTTAGCTATAATAAAACTAATATATTTAGACTAGCAAAAAAGATCACTTTTAATAAAAATAATCTTAAATTAGGCACACCAAAGAAGCTCTCTATAGTAGATGAAAGAAAAATCATTTACAAAATCAATGTTGAGAAGGCTGAAAATTTTGTTGATATTGCTAAAAATATTATTTATATTATCAATAATCTTATATAAATCCAATCCATTTGAATTACTCCATTTTAAAGAAATGGAATATGAAAGCCATTGTCGAGATAGAGAGAGTTTACCTCAAGAAAGCTCTAGGCTTCTGGCTACTACTAAATGCTCAATGAAGTCTAAGATATAAAGGTACCAAGTTTATATATATAATATATTCCCTTTTAGGCCAATTACATCAAAACACAAGCCAAGTACCAAGAAAACACCCAAATGTATGATAAAGTATCTTAAAACCTTATATATCCTTATGAGAAATGTTTTCTAAACTTCAACAGGTCATATCTCATGATCGGACCGTCCAATCAATCCTAAATTTTACATGAAGTATTGATATACTTTCAAAAAATTCCACAAAAAAAAATCAATTGTAAATTTGTTACGGATCTTGAGATATCACCAAAACCCTAATAATAACTTTAAACCCTAGCTTACATACATCTGCATGCTATTTTCTTCATATCTCATAAAATAAGTACTCAAATACCATGAAACTTTGATTTATAGCTTTTTAACCTAATAATTCACACTTACAAAAATTTTGAGCCAAAAATTCGTCCAGAAACTCAAGATATGGCTCCAACCATTACTATCAACAAAATGACTCTTTTACTACCTTTGAATTACATGTGCTGTCTTCAAATGTCTATAACTCCTTCATCTAGACTTGGAATTTGTCAAACAGTATATGTAAAGTATAGCCAAGAAAGCTTTCTCTCCAACTCCAATCGCCGATCTTTCATTACTCTTCGTATGCATATGTTATGCTTCAAAGAGTGAAAATAGGTACAAATTTGACACCTTAACTTTGAACACCTATATCTCCTTCACAAGAACTTGAAATCATTCAAACTCTTCATCCAAATTATACCTAAAACCCTGAGCTTTCTGACCCTAGCCTCCAAAGCTCGAATGACTTCGAAAGAAAAACCCTAATTCCTATTAAGGCCTCAGGCAGCCTCCTTGAAGCCTATTGGGCATGGCCTTCGACCAATAGGAATGAAGTTTTCTATTCCTTGCCTTCATCAAACCATGCCTTGCTTTCATCCCTCCCAATAAGCCTCTTATTAGTTAAGAATTTATTCTTTAGGCTCTAATCTCCTCTCAAGGCTCCATACTAAATATTTAAGTTCTATAATATTTTTTTTTTGAAATGCTAAAAGTAAAAAGATAAATTCAAAATAAAGTTTCTTAAATCCACTCTCTTTAAATTAATTTATTTAACCATTCTAATATACACCTAGTCTTATGAACATATTATATGTTCTAACTTATTTTTACATACTATAAGCTTTTACAGTATGACAACGTACTTAGAACAAAATTTTACACAAAAATACCACTATAATTCTTTTATGTGTTTGAAAGAATTTACTGCAATCCAAATTATAGATCGTGAGAAAATACCCAAAAACCACATGAGATAAAAATCAATAGATTTGGATCAAATGGCAGAAAGTAGGTGTGGAAACAAAAAGGTTAGTTTTTGCTTGATAAAAAGTTTCAAGAAATAGTTAAGCATGGGAGATAGAAATATAGTGATATGGGGTTGTATGGATTGGAATGGAGTTGAAAGGATGGAAGAGGTTGAGAAAAAGATGGATGCCACGAAATTTATAGAAATTCTTGAAAAAAATCTTTTCCCTAACATTGAAGAATCTGGCATTTCTGAGGAAGAGGTGATTTTCTACAAAATAATGATCTTTAGCATAATTCAAAACTAGCCTGGAAGTGATTCGATCATCATGGGATTAAAATAATGGATTGACCTTCTTAGTCTTTTGATCTTAATTTCATTGAATATCTTTAGAAGCACCTCAAATGCAAACTCAACACTTCGAAGATGAAATCAAAGAGAGTTTGAGAATTATAAGAAAGAATAGTTACAAAATGAAATTATATTGAAGCAATTTTGTGCCAAAATTTAATAGAAAGTATGCCTAAGAAGTTAAAAGCAATTATGAAGGACAAAGAGGTTTTACAAAGTAATAATATGTAATTGGATATCGTACACAAAAAATTATTTTAATATTATTTCAAATTGGATTGATTATAACTCTATAATTACTTGATGGATTCTTTTCAACATAAGCTTATTTAATAGCTATAAAAGAGTACTTTATTTGCTATAAAAACCATGTATCATTATTCACTATAATTCATTTGTAATACACCATCTTTTCTAAAATATATCAATATTGAAATAATTTTTTGAGTCACCATATTTCTATGTGTAAATAATACAAATATCCAATCCATACCTTGTTATAGCTAATTGCCATCTATTAATGCAAAACGTCCTTATTTTGGTCTTAATAATATTTTTAAATGGTTTCTTGACAATGAATGAAGTTTTGTGCAAGTTTCTACTTTGTATTGTAGATAGAATAATCTTTATAAAGAATTTTGTACTAAAGTTGCAAACGTCCATTGCTATGGTAAAGGTAGGAATGCTCCAAAATATTGTCCACTTCATATTCTTATTTGTCATCAATCTCAACCGATAGTGGTGGTAGTTGATGTCGATCTAAAAAGTTCCTTGATTCAATATGAAATTCCTTGAGCTACAAAATATCAAAGATCACATGGACCGAAATATGTGGTAGAAGCTTGAGGCAGTTTACAACATCAAAAATTACTACAGAAATGCAAAAAGATCTAAGCTATTAAAGTTCTACTTTATGAACTTAGGTTGATGTAGCAAGTGGAAGGTTGGCATTAGAAAATAATACCTGGTCATTCTCTCAAAAGCTCTTATATTGCCAATGGTTATTCACATATTGCTTCTATTGATTTTAAGTAGTAAAAAGATGATATCATGTCTCTTACAAGGCCATTGTAAGCCGTTGTCGTAATACGTGAAGTCTTGCTTGAGAATGCTCTGCGCACCTGGCTATGAAAGGTAGAATGGAAATTGCAACAATAAAATCCTAACTAT